CCCCGCCCTAAAAAAATACATCTCCATGTATTTCTTTGTCTTACCACAACAAAGTACCACTAACAGATACCCAATACCGATATGATATTTTTTTTAAATTAACCGAACGTTTGACTATATTTCCCTCCAACAGTATCAAGAACAAGTACTTCCATGAGGGTTGTAAGCTAGATAAACCTGAAGCGTATGTGTACGAAGGTTTGCCCTTTTTCGATACGTTTGGAGGAGAACCAGATGCCATTATGCCCCGAACCATAACCATCAAGCGATTCTCTGCTGCCTTCATCCTGCTTGTTATTGGTTTTCTTCTCTCGGGGCTTTTCCTGGGAGCGGAGATTCTGTATGCCAAGAGAAAGGGGACTGCGGTGAGTTCGAGTATTATAATTATGTTCTGGCTATGAATGGCTTGGAGGAGAAAAGAGAGAGACAATGAGAGAGAGAAAGAGAGACAATGAGAGAGAGAAAGAGAGAGAGAGAGAGAGAGAGAGAGAGAGAGAGAGAGAGAGAGAGAGAGAGAGAGAGAGAGAGAGAGATTGTCCATTCATATGACGTGATGCATTGTACTGCTGTTATGCGTCATTGGTCCTGTACATCCGTCTTTGGCGATAGATTGCCTTTCCTAGTCTACTTCTTGTAGATCGTTTGCTTTCCATGGCTTAGGGACATGATGTACCTCTGGTTTTTGTTAAAGGTGTCCTTCCTGTAGCCTTTCTCATGAGAGTATACCCGCAAGGCAGCGGAGATTTAGAATCGCAGTTTTCCTTCTCCTAGAGAGATTGTTGTCCCCAGCTGATGAGCTCTATCTACCCAGGTTTTGTGATCCGAAATTTCCTTCTATTAGACCAACCATCTGTGGAAGTTGTCGAGCTTTGTCTACCCCGGTTTCGAATCAGCTTTTCCTTCTGTTAGACCAACAACTTGCTGTGTTGAGAGTTGCGGGTTCGTACCAGGATTTTCTAGATTAGGAAAGCCTGATTGCCGTGTGGTTGCGTTATCGAGGTAGGGTTCGCAATGCCCTTTCCCCACCTTTTGTGACTGCTGGCTACACTCATCATCTCTTGTGTGCTGACCTGGCCACATGTGTAAGTCACTAGACTGTCACGTCATTGCGCCTTTACGAGCAGGTCCGCGCTCAGTGGGCAGATTGGGTATTCCTCTCAGCCCGTCCTCGTACGCGGCATAGCTTCCTCTCAGCCATAGATTTGTTGGTGGCAGAAGTATGGTTGCTAGGTACATTAGACACCCGCTCAAGGGAGAGTGGGGGTGCATTGGTGTGTAGCTTAGTGTCTACTACCACACACCAGTGAGATCCGCCTCCTGCACCTGCTTCCCATCCGGTTGTTTGCATAAAAAAATAGAGGATGAAGGGGTTCCGTAGGACAAAAGGGTCGATTAAGAGGCTAGAGAGCAAGGGAGAGAGAAAGAGAGAGAGAGAGAGAGAGAGAGGGAGAGAGACAGAGAGAGACAGAGAGAGAGAGAGAGAGAGAGGTTTGCTAAAGTTGCCTTTACATACATGTCAGCCTTTCTCAATTTGTCAGATGCCTAGGAAGCTGGAGCGCGTCGGCAGAGATGATGACAGTGAAAGAATTGACCGTGACTTTCATGATGAACAGGCATGAGAAATAAGAGGTAGCATTTCCCCACCTATTGCCATACTCTGCTCACCTACAAAAGGATCTGGTATGCAACTTTTCCTACCAACAGATAATATGCAGTTTTGTACGACCAGTTCACAGAAACTGTTAAATCTTCAGATTGGAAACAGAAGGCTTTGATCCGATGCATTAAAAAAATATCAAAAACTTTTTGTATTCGACTTGGCGCGAAGCTGTACCATTTATAGCAAAGCATCTAAAAAGTGGCAATATTATTTGTTTCCAAAAAATTGGAACTGATAAATTTTGAAGCGATGTTTGAGTAAAAAAGAAAATTAAGATTTAGCGAGTCTTAAAACTCACCAGCTTGTATAATGTGATAAAGCGAAGTATTTCGAGAGGAAAAAATATGCCAATCATAATTATTTTGATACATGTGTACATTTATTTTTTGCTCGTATTTCCAATATACCTGCCATTGCCATGGCAACCACCATGTCATAGGCTACCCATTTATAATTTATGTTTTTATACTTTCCATAATATATGAATAACTGTAGTAATCTTTTTTCCAATTTTACTTGAAAAAAAGGAGGGGGGGATATTTTAGTCTCGAGGCTCCTTGATTTGTAAGGTAAAAATATAATTTTGCAGTTTGTAACCCTTTGCTGTACAGTGTCTTTTTATGTTTTTCTTTTCATCTGAATTTTATGTTTGGACCCTAAAATATATGTCGATGAAATTAAAACACAAAAGGTAGCCTACATATGGGCTAGACCGACTTGGTTCCATCATTTTCATGAAAAACACCCTTTATTTTGGGGTTTTAGTTTACTTCTGTTTCTCAAGACCAGAACTCTTCATTACCATTCCATCATCTCTAAGCTACTAGCTAAAAGCTTCTTACCTAATTTTTATTTTTTTACGAGTAGCCTATAATTTTGTCAGGATTTTGTTACCTTAGAAATCAGTGAGCTGTACAATTTGTCACCGTTTCTTGATGAATGAATACATGTTTCATTAACTAAATGTCAACTAAAATGTGTTCCTACATTCACTTTGCAGTTTTTGTACATCACCAGTGACATGCTTTCATTCCAAGAGAGATTTTCTGAAATGATATCATTTCGTGAAAACTACAGTTTCTTACTCAAAATCAGAACTCTGTATCACATAATCAAAGCACACTTGGCTGTAAATCTAATGTTTTGACTTATAGATATATACAATAAGATATATTACTGACAGCCTGGGACCATCAGATTTTTGCGCTATGTTCTGAAAAAAGAAAAGGATGAAAATGTCTTCTGTTTTTTGCCAAAGCTGTCCGCGCAGTTTGTCTTTATGAACAGAAGCAGTTTAATAAAGGAGTGTGTGACTGTGCTCTAGCTTCCCTCGGGTGCAGAAGTGGAATCTAAAAATTTTGCTATCTCTCTATTCTATTTTCAACCTGCTGTAAATATAGACACTTAATTACCTTTTAAATTTGTTATGTAGTGGGATCATCTTTTTTGTACTGATACTTTCTATCTTTCATGGGGAAGTGAATGGTTTTATCCAAGACCGGAGTTGAAATAATAATAGTTGTAAAGCGCATGTTGCATGCTGTTGAGCATGGATATGTGCTATATAAATGTAATTCTATTATTACTGTTGTCATGTCGTTATTATTATTATTATTGTTATTATTATAACATCATATGTGAGGCAGCATGGTGAAATCACACTCTCGTCATTTCTGAACGTGTAGCAATTTTTTCGAATTTTCTTTTCTTGGCTCAGCACCTTTCATGTCCTTTTAAAAGTACATTTAATTTTTGTGTGGATGTTACTGAAAAATGTTCTTTAAAAGCACAAAAATGTACATTTACAATTTCCAAGGACACTTAAGCTTTGGAAATTACAACACATTGGCAGTCATTTTTTCGCTATTTTTACCTCTTTTGCCAGACAACCACCATCTCCTTCAATCGCAAATATTTCGACTTCTGTTCAAGATAGAGGTGTATTTTTTTCACAAAATGCAAAAAAAATGAACAAGCTAACAATAACTGAGTAGCCCAGAAATTGACGAGCACCCGATTCCACCACATTGTGACACATATACACGTACTTATGGACTGTCACATTTTCTGAAAATGTATTCTGGTAATTCTTTTTCAATAAGAACGATTTTGTGCTTTCCTTCACTGGTTCATGAGAACCTGATGCTCTAGTGACAATTGATTATAGGCCATGAAGTTTGGCAAGGAGGAGCTAGAGCAACTTTTTTTTCCTATTGTTTTCTAGACTTATTTTATTGTACAGTATTGAGCCTGTAAATATGCTTGCTATTGTTTTTTTTTCACCTTTTCATGCAATTTTTCCTCTTTGATTTTCTAAGCCATTTTCATCTCATATAACCGAGGATTGCTGTGGATGTGTGCAATACCTTCTATTTTTACATACAATAGGCAGGGATTATCTTGGAAGACACCTTCATACTTGACAAAGATCATGACCAATAATTTGGGAACATTTTATCAGTCTGAATTTAACTAAACATGGACAGAACATTTTGTGTTTCACAACTAACCAACTCCACGTTCAGTCCAAGGTTGAGTTGGTGAATGTAAGTAATAGTGGCAATCTTTTTCCAACTAACGGCAAGAATTAATGTCTTGGTCGTACACAACAGCAGGGAACGCTTGTTCTAAATTACACCCCCTCCTTTTCTCAGTTTCTCTCACTCTCTCTCTCTCTCTCCCTCCCTCCCTTTCTATCTATCTATCTATCTCTCCATCTATATCTCTCTCCCTCTCTCTCTATGTGTTTTTCCCTTTAATATCTCTTATTTTTCAGGTTTTGTTATATTATTATGAGGGGGATTCAATAAGTCTTTGGTCTGGGTAAGAAAGAATCAAGTAGAGTAATGAAATTTTGGCAGCCTTTAGACATGTTGTTTGGAACACTCCATACAAATTTTCGAAAAAATCCGACAAAAATAAGGCACTAGTCAGCGTGTTCAATGAAACCAAACCCCAAAACGTTTGTTTTTCCTTGCTGAAGCTGTGCCATGGAGCCTATTGAATATGGCTCAGTTATCAAGTTTTTACTCTTGAAAGGAAAATCCCCTCTTGACATTTTTCAAGAAGTGGTCCAAGTTTATGGTGATAAATGTCCTTGTTATTATATTACTGTGACATACAGGGTAAGAAAATTCAAACCTGGATTCATGTCGGTGATGGATGAAGATCGTGATGTCGGTGATGGATGAAGATCGGGAAGGACGACCATCCTTTGGGGTAAATGAAGAGAATGTATCCACAGTGAAGACACTGGTTCTACAAGACCGACATATCACTGTTAATCAGCTCTCAAGTCCGTGACAACGCCCCTGCTGTCTGGAGTGCTAGTTGCGTCCTGTGCGCAGGGGCGTTGTCATGCAGTAAGAGGACCCCTTTACGGAGTTTTTCCACACCCTTTTCTCACCATTCGGACGGCAATTTTATCAGTGCGACTTAGAAATCCTGCCACATCCAGCTTATCCTCCAGACCTAGCCTCCTCAGACTATTTTCTGTTTCCTAATCTAAAAAAAACTGCTCAAAGGACGTTGTTTCCATGACAACGAGGGCACCATTGAAGCTGTGGAAGACTGCTTAGGGGCCAATTCTGGGTCATTTTTCTCTCAAGGACTTTTGAAGGTCAAAGAGAGGTGGCAGAAATTTGTTACTCTGCATGATGACTATGTAGAGAAATAAAAGTATTTGTACCAATTACAAAGCTCTATTTTCATTCCTTCGTAGTTAGACCAAAGACTTCTTGAACCCCCCTCACAGTTACAGTTCTATGCTCCCTTAGACACAATTTAGATCATATAATCGAAGATGGCCGTACGACGTTACTGCTTGTGAAGACGTACTCAGTAAGTATAAAATACATCCCAGCAGAACAATATACACACTGGACAAACTATCTTTCCGACTTTGACCTCACATCCTTCGCCTGAGCACAGAACCAGGTTTTCATTTTTCAGTGAGCTACACAAGGATAGTAATATGGATTATTGTGAGCAGTTTTTTTATGGATTGTGGAATTTATTTTTTTGTCATTTTTTGCATACCGCAGAGAATGTTAATTTCTTTTAAAATCATTTGTAACAAAACATGCTTTTGCCTGTATTTTCTATTCACTTGTTTGACCTTTCTTGTTGAAAATGATTCTTTTTCTGCAATAATTTTGAGCTTCTATACAGTTCATAAAGTATACAAAGACCTGTGTCTAATGCTGCATCTTATTGTTATAATATACAAACATTCCAGCTAATGCTTTGCGATTAAACATTGTTTCTCTGTCAATGGACATTTACATTTTTACTTTTGAATATGTACATTGCCTACAAAGGCTTCTGCCTAAAATATTGCAGCAAACACCGGAGACACAGTGATTTAACTTTGGTAACTCCTTTCCATTCCAGCATGATTATGTCTCAGTTCATGCATCTCTCCTCCGTTTGGTTGATGTTCTTTATTAATACAGAATTACCCATGGAATAGGCACACCATTGTCTTTGTCTCTGTGTTATGAGAAGGGACCACCTATTTTCTTATAAGAAATAGAATAGATGAGTAATAGTTTGTTATACATTATGTATATAGTCAAACCACAGCTTAACTGCTTGCCTATCCACATTGTCTGACACATCACTTGGTGATTATGCTATGAAAAGTCAGGTTTTAGTAAGTATATTATTATTCGTTTTTAAAATTTTACATTGACCTTTCTACTGAATTTAGTATAAGAACCCTTTGCTGTCTTCTAAGAAGTTCCGCTGGAGGCTATTTTTCCATGAGTGTCAATGAGTCACTTAAGAGCTTAAATTGTGTTTATTTGGATTATATTGTTCATGGATTGACTGTGAGATTGTTTATTTGCAAGCATCATTACTACATATGGATGAAAAGCCAGCTTAGAGATTGCACACACATACAGGAGAGGTTTTAAAGTGGTGGGACCTTCACAGTATCACTTACCGTAGCTTCCAAAAGATACAGGAAAAGTGTTTCCATTAACTCTAATTGACTTCCCAAATTCAGTTCCAGGATGTTTGCATTACCGGGACATGTATTTGCTGTCCATTTAAGTTTACCAACTTGATGAAGTGCTCTTCCTTGTCAGAGCATTATATGTGAAGTGCTAAAAGATTAATTCCTTTCCTACTGGTGTCTGTGGTGTAGATGCTTGGTGCTTTGCACTCATATGCAGATAACATGAGTTTAATCTTTGAGTGGGAAGGTATTTTATAATCAAGTGTCTTGGTCTGTCTGCTGGGACATTGTATCTCTCTTTATTTCAAGATTGGGCCTAACATGCTGGGAAAAAGCGGCCCAGCTACTGAACAATATAAATTGTGAGGCATGGTTGTGAAATGAGGCGCTCGTCAAAATAATGAAATCGAAGAAACAGGCATTTTTCTGGTAGTCTGGCAATTTTCACAGAATTTTTGTTTTCTGGCTCAACACATTTTATGTCCATACAAAAACACATTTACATTTGAAATTTACTGAAAAACTTTGATAAAAGGCACAAAATATGTAATTTTTCAGTTTTCTAGGGCTCTATAGCTATTGAAGTTAACTAACTTTGGCCGCCATTTTCTCGTTAATTTTACCACTGAAACCAGGCCATCTCACCTCCTTCAATTGCAAATATCTCGACTTCTATTCAAAATAGATGAGTATTATTTTCATGGAAAGCTAGGCAAATGATTCTGCTTTTAGGTGATACCAATAACTCGTACTTACTTTACTTTTACTTTTTCATCCTCTGTTGCCGTTTAGCGTTGAGGGGAGATGCAGTTTTCTATGGTAGGCCAGCTCCGCAGCTCTTTCAGTTGTGATGTTATGTTTTCTTAGGGTAGGGTTTCCTTGACACCCTCGGACCCTCGATCCACCTTTTGCGTGGCCTTCCTCTTCCTTTATAGCCTGAGTGCTTGGTGTTGTAGGCTCTCGAGGCTGGCTGGTCAGGTGACATGCGTAACAGGTGGTCAAACCATTTTACCCTCTGTCTTTCTATGTAACGCAGGCAGGACTCTGTGCCTAAGCTGCTCTTACTTCTTCATTTCTCTGCCTGTCTCGTTTTGTGAAGTAAGGGTTTTGCGGAGACATTTCATTTCGCATGCGGTGATTTTGCTTTCATGGGTTTTGCTTAAGGTCCAGGTCTGGCACTAATAACGTAATGTTGGTATGAATATTGAGGTGATAAGCTGTCTCTTTGTGTCCATGGAGAAGTTTGGATGAGATAGGAGGGGTGCGAGCTGGTAGGTGACAGCGTTGGCTTTTTGAGTTCGCATTTCTATTTCTCTGTCTATGGACCCGTTTTCAGAAAAAGTGCTGCCAAGATATTTAAACTCCTTCACCTGTTTCAGTTGTTTACTATTGACATGGATGTTCAGGGGACTATGGTTTCGGCTCACTTTCATAACTTTTGTTTTAGATGTGCTTATTTTCATGTTGAATTTCTCACAGGTGTTGTTGAATAACTCGTAATGCCCAAAAATTGACGAGAGCCTGATTCCACCGCGTCGTGACACAATTGTGTTGGTGGGAGTAGAGAACAACTACAGTTACAATCTTTACAATTTCTGTAGCTATGGAAACCCGTCTAAATTACAGTGAAACAAGAAATGACATCAGAGAAACTTCTCTGCATTTGAGACCAATCTTAGCGCTTTAAATGCACTCTATAGAACAAAGACTGCAATTTTTCAAATTTGCATTAACCACTGCTAGCTTTTCAACTTTTGATAAAGATGAACACAAAAAGAAAAATACCAGAAATTATACAAACAATGAAAAACAAACCATTCAACTCATTCTCATTTTCTGTACCGTTTCCTTGCATTTTCTGTTGAAGTTAAAATTTTGGAAAATAAAGCAGAACAACCAGCTTGTACTCGCTGACAATATCTCCTCACTCAAACAACCCCATTTTGTATTTGCTGACAAATAGGACAAAAATGTTTCTTAAAACTGTTTTAGGAGATCCTTTTACTCGTGATGTTTATTCATGTTTTGTGCACAGTAATGGAACCCTGATATTACCAAGTGAAAGCACAAAAATGAGCATAGTATGAAATATCATTCAGGCAGAAAACGTATCATGTGCCTCTCGTCAAAGAACAAGTTAACATGTACATGAACCTTTAAATAAGAAAAGAGTTGAAAATGTGATTTCCTTAAATCTGGCATTGCTGGTTTTGAAGAAGGCATGTGACATCACAAAAAAATCTTAAGAAAAATTGAAAGTCTATTTATACGTTGACATTTTCAGCCAATATACAGAAGCAAAAATGAACTAAAAAATTGTTGACAGGACGCAAAACTTCGACCAAAGCTATTTTTCAATTTGGCTATCAAAATGTAAGTCTCTTACATAAAAGCAACGCTTTTAATGTGAGGCATATAATATGGGTTGTTTTAGGGGAGGGGGGAGGGAGTTGAGAACAGATACTTCTTAACGGCTGGTGGTCCGAAGTGCTGTGCCAGTGAGCGGCTGGCAGCGGCTGAGGCACATTCCTTTACGACGACTTCGACATCAAATCACTTTTTGGCAATTACCAAAAACAGGTCTCTTTTACTGAGAGTTCATTCATTAGATGAAGAACTATCTAGATATGTTCACTTGCTTTGATTTAATTACCAATTTAGTGACGTTTTTGTCCTTTTTAGATTGAGTACCAAAAAAGGTCCCATTGTAGTGGTTCTTCTACCCCCCTCGGAGATAAAGAGTTTTTAAAAACCTTTAATAAAAGCTTCATTTTACCTTCCCTAAGGACAACAAGACTGAAATCAAGAGTAGAAATGGCCGAAAATATTTTGCTTACATTATTTATGTGAAGTATTATTCAGTTGTCACTCATGTTTAACTGTTGTGATGAACACAGGGCCATCGGTGTCGACTACTCCCTCCCTTAGAATTACAAAGTTCTATCTGACGTTTTTGGCTGTTTTGATTTACTGAGACCATGAGATCAGGAACCAAATGTTCTATCTGCTCTATCAAAATCATAAGATTATTCAGAGTCGTTATCAAGATATTCAAAGAATTGCATTCCAAAAAGCTTGAAATATTGTGGAACTCAAAATTTTTAACATCAAAAATTTCTCAAAACTAGGTACTGAGCAGATAGAACTTTGTAATTCTAAGGTGGTGAACCGTGTGAATACATTTTAGTCTCCAAAAATATAGTTCTTGTAGGAAGCTGCACTAGTTATTCCTCTCAAATTTACATTAAAACAGTTTTTTGACATAACCATATTTAAGAGGCAAAGCCTATCCATTTGTTTTGTGACTTATATTATATAAGTCAGTTAAATAAGCTTTCATCTTGTACATGACTGACTGAGATTTAGTTTTAAAAATGTACAATATGGTACTAAACCTGTCAGTCTGAACCTTATGTCTGAGAAGGAAAATATGACAAGGTATTAATCTAGTTAGATGTACATGGTAAAAATAGAAATGTTTAATTCATTTGGAATGAGCAGAATTTTGTAAAGAAAACATTCACTAAGGCATCAGTCGAACTTGAAGAAAACAGTGCAACTCTGAAGAAAGCTTGATGATAAAATTCTCATGGTCAATTCTTTTTAAAAATATTGGCCTCTCTTAGATTCTCAGCAGCAAATCAATTGCTCCTCTTTCCTGAACTGAATTATCTTAGACTGCATTTTAAACAAAACTTCTCTCGAGAAAGAAACAACTGGTAACTTAAAAAAACAACAACCTGAATAATTCTTTAACTCTGTGACTGAACAGAAAACTTCCTTGTTGTTGATTTAGTAGAAGTTCGTGAATATTTCAAGGAGACAGAGAGTTGGTCACTTGGAAGACTGAACTTGTAGACATAAAAAACAAGACATTTCGATATGAAAACATATTATTATGGGAGAGAGTGGCAGGGAACATTTATCCAACTCACTCAGATGAAATGTGTCACGATATGGTGGAATCAGGCGCACGTCAATTTTGGGGCATATGGGGTTGTTGGTATCATCTTAACAGCATTTGCCTTCCTTTTGGTAAAAAAATGTCCATCTATGTTGAATAGAAGTTGAAATATTTGCGTTTGAAGGAGGTCAGGGTCGCCTGGTTTCAGAAGTAAAATTAGCGAGAAAATGGACGCCAAAGTTTGGTAACTTCCATAGCCTGAGAGTCTTTGGAAACTGAAAATTTATATTTTTAGTTCCTTTAATCAATGTTTTTCAGTAAAATCCACGCAAAAAATATATGTTTTTATGTTTTTAAATAGACATAAAAGGTGTTGAGCCTATAAAAGAAAATTAGAAAAAAATGCCCATCCGCCAAAAAAAATGCCGATTTCTTCGATTTGATTATTTTAATGAGCGCCTGATTTCACCATGATGCCTCACATATGAATTTCAAACTTCTCCACACAGGCGAAGTAAGTAAACAACTGTGCCATAATGGTTTTATTTTTTTAAAAAAAAGATTAAGATCATAAATCTTTACAGCAAAAGAATATTTGACTAGTAAATAATACAAAGATTAAGATTGTAAAGCTGTAAACATGCAAGCTTGGTGCATCACAAGTCCCGGAGGAGAGCCTGATCTGACATCTGAAAGAAAAAGATTTAAAAAGAAAATAAACCATTTTCATTTTTAAAAATAAGTTGAGCATTCACATCTGAAGTATTAGAAGTTTTGTTTTATTTTAATCATATAAATTCTGCTATAGCACTTTCATCAACTTAAAATAGTAAATGTACGCAAAATGATCCCTTTCAAGATCAGCACTTACTGATTGAGATACAAAAACAAAAAAAGACCAGTATTTACTAATTGTTATGACAAAGAAAAGAAAATGGAGGGACACAAAAATGCAATGGATCTATCGAGACAGGAGTTTATTTGTTACTCTATGTCAGACATAACAATCAACTGTATAAATAACATTATTACAATATATAAAAAATACAAAGTTGTTGGTCACCTCAGTTCAGTGCTCTTTTTCCTTCTATAGTTTGTTCTGTAAGTTTTGAACACTTCATAGAAATAAATGATGAAAATTTAGGCTATTTACAGTACACCAATCCTGCCATTAAAAGACTATTCACATAAGTCTTAAAGACCGTGGACGAGCTCTTTCGTCCAATTAAACAGAGGGAGAATTAGTTACAATCGACAGCTGTTAATATTTCAATATTTTAATCTATTCATGAGGCAAAGTCCTTATGTCTGAGCATGTTGCAGCACGTGGGCACTTGGAGCGGAGTGAAAACTCACCATTAACCTATGCTACTCACTCAAATCGCGGGATTGTTTACTCAACTACATTAGCTCACGTGGAGCGAGACCCTAAATTAATTAGGTATTTTGTGACTTCCTTTCTTTCATCACAGCAACTCAAAGAAGTCAGAGGCATAGTCTAGCTTTGGAATTTTGAATCATTTTGCAAAATATTTTTAATAACTGGATGTTCCCTTATAAGTTTTGTTCTTGATTTCGCTTTGTGTCAACAATTTGTTTGCACTATGAGGGGCAAGAAGTCATTCAAAACCACTTTCACCACTCTTCAAAAGGTTGCGCTTAGCTCTACTCCCATTTTAATAGAGAGGCAAAGAGAGGAGCTTTGTACCATGGTATAGGGAATCCAAAAGAAAGAACTCGGCATGCCTTAGGTTTGAACAGAAGCACTGTCAAGATGGATTAAACAGCATGAAATGAATGAAGAGACTTTCCTAGCTAAAAGAGGACGGCCTTTGAAGACTGATAGTTTTGATAAGGAGTTTATCCTATGAGCAATAGTAAAGATGTTTGAAAGAAATGAATTTGTTACTCTCAGAAAGTTGAAAAGATGGTTTTGCGATAATCATTATACAAACATATCGGAGACATGCCTTTTGAAAAAATAGAGACGTGTTGAGTTTACGTTCAGGAAATCAAAAGGTGGGAAAATTTACTGTGCGGAAGAAATCATATTATTGTTGTTTTAAGAAGTAAGTACTTGAGAGTGTTATTGAAAGACGTCCGTGAGAAAGGATATGAGGTTTTCTTGCTAGACGAAACTTTTATAAACGCTCACCATGTGCTCCAAAAAGAATGGCAGTCAAGGATGGATATATTAAAAGACAAGTTCCAGCTGGAAAAGGAGAGAGACTGATAATTTTGCACACTGTGGAAGCAGTGAACTAATTTTCAAATACAATTCCAGTGAAAACCGGGATTATCACAAGGAAATGAATGGCAACATTTTTCGAAATTGGATTCTTCAAAAAATATTACCTACACTGGACAAGCCATTTTGCATAGTGAAGAATAATGAATGCATCATATCACAACGTAGTGGAAGAAGAGGACAATACTCCAAAAAGTTCAAGCAGGAAAGAGGAAATAAAAGATTGGCTCAACAAAGAGAGCATACCATTTGCACTGTCTCAGCTTAAACCCGAGCTACTTTTGCTCGTTAAAGAAAGCAGAAAAGCCCAAGGATATCAGGCTGATAAACTTGTAGAACAGCAGGGACACATTTGCATACGTAATGATAAAGAATAATTAATTAACCAGTCACTAATTCTCTTCCAAATTTTAATTTTCATAAGGTCGTGGATGTATATAACTATCACCAAAAATATGGTTAAAATCGAAAGTAGTTGAGATATTTAGCTTCTAACGTGTTCACGAATTATGGGACGGACTATAGAAAGGCCCTTAAACCAATTTACCCGCTCTGATTTGATTGCTGTAAGGGCACGATATATCTTAAAAGAAACCAAAAGACAAATTCGCAAAGGAAAAAAGATACAGTTCTGTTCCATTTACTTTGCTTAAATAGATTTACAGTGCGAAAGAAATCACAATACAACTTGCTGAAGACAAAATGTCGTGCTGACTGAAATCATAAAATACTTATTGAACTTTTCAACTTTGACAGTCTTCACAGTATGCCCACAGCCCACAAGGTGGACAAATGACAAAATTATAACAGCCCACTTCCCCGACTACAACCAAATAAAAGAGAGATCAGAGGATACCATGCGTACCTCTTTTTTGGTGGCTTCCATTATACTAAAGATAGTACATAACAAGATGGGCCACTCAGCCAAAGATAGTACAAGACAAGATGGGCCACTCAGCCAAAGATAGTACATAACAAGATGGGCCACTCAGCCAAAGATAGTACATAACAAGATGGGCCACTCAGCCAAAAAAGTGTCCGCCGGAAGTTCGCTCTTTTCTTCAGATGGCACTGCAGTCTGTTGTGAAGCTCTCTTTCATTTCTCCAGAAGAAGAATAGGAATAGCACCTCCTTGCGTGCACAAATCGACTGCTGTTCATCAGCTGTTCGGGTTCGTTCAGTGCGGAGGTTTTTAGTTTTAAAAATTTTTTAATGACCTCTCGCCTTTCATTCTAAAGTCAAATTAAACAAAGAAAGCAGTCACCCCTTCCTCTGGAAGAAGTTTTTTATCAGCGAAACCATTTTAAAAAGCGTTCTTCAGAAATTTGAATTCTAATTTATTCAAAAACTTGTTAGTTTCACTTTGATTTTTTAAACACAAACAGGGTAACTCTGTTCGCAAAGGGTGCGCATTTGTGAAGAGGGCGCCACCGAATTTTGAGGACACTTTTAATTGGCTCAAAGAGAGGAGTGGCCCCTCTTATTATGTAGACTCTTTGATTATACTGCCCCCTGGGGGCTGCCAATAATCTGGTCATTATTCTGCATTTGTTAGTTGTTATTTAATATTTACTTTTTCAATAGTCTATTGCAGTGGGTGGCTTAGACAAAAAAAAGTGTGCGTGTTTGTGTGTGTGTGTGGGGGGGGGGGGGGGGGGTTGTTTTATTTATTTTGTACAAATTTTACTTGTTAGTTTTTGGTTACTATCCGCTTTATATTTTGTTATTCTTGTGGGTCTTCTTTGGATGTATGTGTGTGTGTGTGTGTGTGTGTGTGTGTGTGTGTGTGTGTGTGTGTGTGTGTGTGTGTGTGTGTGTGTGTGTGTGTGTGGGTGTGGGTGGGGTCACTTTTCAATTTATCTGCAAAAGAATAATGAATTGTATAAGTGCTTCAGTTTGGAAAGCCTTTAATTTGAGCTTAAACTCTCTCTTTATAAGAACTGAACGCATCGCCAAGTTTCAGTGAGGAGCCAGCGCCTGCTATTTTGAAAATCAAAGGATAGGCTCCAACCATAGCTGGAAATGGGGGGTCCAAATCCAAAAAATTAAAAAATGCAGAAGCCAGGGGGGCAAAATAATAACTTCCTTTTTCTTTGCTTTTCTTTTCTCACTTCTTTTATCCTTGTTCCTTACTGTGGTCTTGGAATGATTGCTATTACATCATAGTGTTTTAACTCATTTTTAAAATCTCTGCCTAATATCTGCTTTCATGTAATTGTGTCTACCTTTAAATCCACAAAAGTAAGTGACTGACAGGTGCTGTGGTGCAGTTTGCGTCTTTCCTTCAAACATCTATCGTTCTTATCACCCCTCCTTCTTTTTCATGTTTGTTATTCTCTTGTAACATCTCTAATCTTTGGCACTTATATTATGACCTCATTGTGTTGCAAGCGCAGAGAATCTCTTACTAAAACTTAAAGCAAATCCACAAAATACAATACAGTAGAAACCTGATATAACAGGGATGGTGGGAGTAGAGAAAATGTCCTGTTATATCCGATCCCTGTTAAATCAGAAATGCAAGGAAAGTAAGCATTTATTGTGGACTAATCCAGCTGTACTTATTCATGGGTATTTTCCTTTGCCACAAGTACCCACGAACAGGGGTTTTGGCACTAACTTTCTCCTTGCCTTCTTAAACCACATCAGAAGAGCTTGGTCCACAGCATCTGCATCGGGTAGTCTTATCTTCTTTCGATCCTGAGCAAACTTTCCTTTGGAGTATGCTGCCGCTATCTTCGCTCTATCCTTGATAATGGTGTGAATCGACCCTTGTGGAATGTCGAACAACAACAAATTCTCTGCCAGTGGAGCTTGCTTTTAGTCAACAACCTGGATTATTTCGTATTTTTTGTCAATTGAAAGGTATTTTCTCTTGCGCTTGATGTGCGTTGGTGACACATTACACGTGCGTGTTGCTAGGTTTCGGGCTAGATCGAGGTCTGCAGCACACCGCAGCCCTCTCTCACTTCACATGCTGTGTGTGCTTGCAGTGGCATGGCTTGTGTGGGCTTGCTCCATCACTGCGTTACTCTCTCTCTCTCTCTCTCTCTCTCTCTCTCTCTCTCTCTCTCTCTCTCTCTCTCTCTCTCTCTCTCTCTCTCTCTCTCTCTCTTTTACTTTTTACACATTGTTAACGAGCATTTGTCCCTGCTATAACCGGTTGGGATCCGATGAGGCCCTGTTATTGCCGATAACTTTTAATAGAGACAAAGAGTAGGAAAAAACGGGGATTTAAAAAAATCCCTGTTATTACCGGATCCCTGTTATTACCGGTGTTTGTTATATATCGTTTCCACTGTACATATAAAGGGAACACAAACCTTAGCTTCTGCAGCTAGATAGCCATCAATCTTGTCCTGTTTGCTGTGGTCAGCAGAAGTGCCCAGCTGGTCATGTAGCAAGGACAAGAACATACTGGCCATCTCAACCTCCTTGTGCTTCATGTCCGATAGGACCCAATTAACTGGGTTAATGCGTAGTTCTGATGGGGTCAGTTTGAAGCCATGCCTGTTGCGTGAGACAGAAGTGCAGACATACATCTAGTTGATAATAAATTACAATCATTACAAGGAAAAAAGAGCATTTAAGAAACCCTTTGTGACCAGTTTTGGCACTTGCTATAATAAAAACTGTATGCTTTTGACCCTGCTTCTGTCTTTGATTACTGTCGTGACAACCTTTCCAGCATGCTGTTGTTCAGACTAGTTTTAATCTCTCAAGTAGAGAGTTTGGTGGGGATTTTACAACCGTTAATGTTCAAGGAACTCACTGATGCAATTCAGACATGCATTTTGACCTTGGTTGTGAGGACCATAGCAGAAAAACTGAGATGCCAAATTTAACATATTCCTTTAAAAAAAGTAAAGCTCACCTCTTATCAAAAGCAAACAAAGAGCCCTAAATCATTATACTGCAGATATCAACGGGCTCTGATGTCAACTAAGAGAACATACCAAAAAAATTTACTACAACACTAGTTCACCGATCGAAACCATTTTGTATGGCAGCCCTAACGTGTTTCAATATTCATCTGCCTCACCATTTCTGGTAGGATTTCCACGTTGCTCGAGAATCTTCATGGTCATTGCCATCATCCAGGCGTAAAACTTTCACCAATACTGATGACTGCGAAGACAAAAATTAACACTCCGTCAGAATTTTGGGGGGAACAAAACATAACAATGACCAGCTGTTCAGAGGTATGCCCAAAATTTTGAAAATATTTTTATTGCAGTTTTGTAATCTGTGCATGGTACCTGTTGCATATGCTTGATATTTTGTCGAAATTCAAACTCCGAATGTTGAAAACAGTAAATAAAAAGAGACATTATGTAGGTGCAAACAATTGCTAAAATAATGAAAGTTTTTCTCTCTCCTGAAAACTTTTACTTTCTAGACTTAGAACAGTTGTGGAGCTTGCAGACAATAGGAGTCATGGCTATATCACACACGGCTGTTAGAAAGTGATACTTTAGTTTGCAGGCAGCTAGCGCGCCTCATCTTGTAATCTGACCCCGGTCGCGGGGTCATGAACTCGAGGCCAGGGGAATTCCCGGTGTCCCGGTGACAGCATTGTTCATTTCATTTTTAGGACAATTAAACTCTCAAAATGTGCCGATCAGTGACTTTGCCGTTATTTTATTTTGCCTGTTTGGAACAAGAAAGAACTTCTGCACTTACTGAAAAAGATGCAAAACTGTATGAAATAAAGATAAATATATATATATAGCGTTCTAAAAATGGCTCATATATTAACATTGCCCTTAGGGGGGGTGTAGATTTTTAAATCAACATTTCAGTCAATCAAAGCGAAAAAACATTCTTCAAATTCACATAAAATACACCAAAAATGGTCAAATATAAAAACTCACTTTGTTGTTTTTGTGCCAAGTCCACAGTTTTGGAGTAGTGAAGAGTTGATTGCAGTATCACCTTTTTTTTCTTTGTCGGAGGCACGTTGGATAATAGTTCAGGATTTGACCTGAGGTGCTGAGATTGCATCACAACTTTCAGCTGTTGTTCGATATTACGCATCCCAGCTCCTCTTCTCTCTAGCTTTGTCACAGAAGCACGGATACGTTCACCACCCTGTTCCCCATCTAAAGCCAAACCAAACCCATACGTTTGTATCCACGGGATGCAGTGGTTTTCTAGAATGTGGTGTTTGGGAAGTACCTTTTCACTAAAGTGTCTCCTGTAGAATGACATGTAAGTTTTGATGCATATGTCAAAAAGTGTGGTAGTCCGTCTTTTGACAGTGGTTGGCCGTGTGACATGTGGATGTGAACGCCCCTAAATGCATTGTTTAATTGACTGATTTTTTCTCCGAGAGTGTAAGCAGGGTCAATTATGTTTTGGAAGGGGGTGTTTTCTTCCATTTCTTTTACAATAAATGCAGTGAGGTCTTTATAAACGTGACTCATGATGTATTTGTGGCAGTGATTGCCAATGAAAGAGTGGCTGTGATATGCTACGGTGTGATGTTGTGTGAGTCAAGTATGCTGCCTCACCTATAGGCAATCCATAGGCTAACAATAAACTTTGCTGCAAGTTGAAAAAAAGTCTCAAGAAGGTTCCTTCCCCTTTTTTTTCCTCTTTACAATATCACGCCTATTTAGCCGTTTATAAAAAAAAAAAGGTCAGCATTCACATATCTGTGGCATATTTTTTCCCCTTATATACATCTTTTCATTATACATACATCAATATCCATCCTCCTGAAATAGACTAACTACTACAGAGACAAACCTTGTCATAGATCACACCATACATGGAACCCATGTTGCCCAGACATCCAATCTGGTGGAACTTGCTCAAGTTGAACTGTTTCTCATCAATCATAAGCCCTTTAAAAGTGGGATCTGCGAAAGATACAATTAATGAAGACACTGAAATGTGGCACCATGTGGTGGAATCAGGCACTTATCAGTTTTTGGGCAAATGGGGTTATTGGCATCATCTTAAAGTCTGTTCATTTGTCTTCCTTTTGGAGAAAAAATTATCCTTCTATGTTGAATAGAAATCGAGACATTTGCGACTGAACAAGGGGAGGGTTGCCTGGTTCCAGAGGTAAAATTAATGAGAAAATGGCCGCCAAAGTTTGGCAGCTTCCATAGCTTGAGAGTCCTTGGAAAATGAAAATCTACATTTTTTTTTAGTCTTTAATCAATGTTTTTCTGTAGGCCTGCAATCCACACAGAAATGCGTTTTTAGATAGACATAAAAGGCGTTGAGCCAAAAAAAGAAAATTAGAAAAAATTGCACAACGGCCAGAAAAATGCTGTTTTCTTCGATTTCATTATTTTGACGAGCACTTGTTTTCACCACGATGCCTCACAAATGTTTGCTTTTTTTGTATTGTCTTAACTCATTCGCTACGCTGAGCCGTGGGGGAGCGGCGCGGCTAAAAAATACGCTAAGCCGTCCCCGGCGGCTCGAGAACCGACGTTCAATTTTAGCTTGGTTTCTATTCCAATCCACATATCCATGTTGAAATAAAGGTCATAATATAAAGTTGACTCCCGGGTCAAGCGTTTCCACCGAAAATCGGAAGTTTTGATTCAGTTTTGAAACATGATTTCGAAGTTTATATTGGACACTGTTTTATCGCGAAGCCCAAATTATAGCCCAGACACCAGTCTTAGTACTTTTACACAACAAAATGTATCATTATTTTGCTCACTAAAGAAATGTAGGACTCTTCTTTATAATATTGATACTACTGGACTCAAATTGCCAGAGCACTGTAATTGAGAAATCAATATTTTTGAGTGCTAGGCCTAGATATAAATAGTCAAAATATTTTTTTCTCCCCAAAATCACTACTTTTTGGTGCATTTACTCAAAAAGTACCACCCGAGACATGTACAGGTTTATTCCAAATGCAATTCTAAATAATTCCATATAAGATACAATTTTTTTTTTCTGTTTGGGATCTTTTTTTCAAAATTATTTGTAAAAAATAATTTTTTTCAATATCGGAGGTTATGATCCAAATGTACAAATATTATGGAATGTATGTAAATAACTGCTCATTTTTCAATATTTTCCTGTTCTATATACAGTTATGGTCAGTGGCGTGGCTCTCCAAGCGCAAATGGCGCCATGGCGCCACCCTTTGAAATGTAGAAAGGATTTTCAAAAAAGGAAATACGATGTTCCAAAACTTAACAAAATATCACTATAATTATGTTTTTCAAACCAATCTCTTATTCCTAAGTACTCCAGTCTTTAGTTAAGGTGTGTATAATAAGGCTAGTGGGAGTAGGGTGGGTAAGCCTCCCGTTGCCGGTCGCAAGGGTCTCCCCGCGTCTTTCGTCCCTACGTCTGACTTCACCGAGGGCGCCGAACCCAGATCGGCCCAGCCTGAACCTGTGTCTCTGCCTGAACCCATCTGGGTGTTCATTGTTTAGGTGTGACGTCTGGTCAAAATAATTCAAAATGATCAATAAACTTTGATTCAATCAGTTCAAAACAGGGTTTTCTTTCCAAGAATAGCAAAAAAAGTTTCTTTAATACCCCATCCAGACGTTTGACGGAAGACAAAAGAGATATCACCAAGAACATAACTCAGCTAAAAATACTACCGCAGGTCTTTATAATCATTGCTCCCATCATACTAAGAGATTGTACTGTTGGGCCAAGGGGCCAAGATGGATTTGGCGCCTGTATGGTTGGGAAGGGATGGTAGTTAGCCTGGACAAGGCCACATGGCATGGTTGCGAACTGTCTAAAAATAGGTTTTATTGTCTGCTTTCTAGAAACCAGAACTGCAAGGAATCAGGGAATGGGGTCATTATGTCAAGACGCCCAGAGGGCAATAGTGCATGCAAGTTCTTCACTGTGAATGTGTGCTTTTCTGTTGATCAGTTGGAAGTTATGTGATGTGATTATGCGCATCTTGAGCGCTGAACTCTCTCTCGATCAATATAAAAGATTGTACCAGCACTTATCTATTCTTCTCGCATGGAAGTAGGTGTCCCTATATCAGTATTAAAATTAAACGAAGAGGCGTATATATAGTAGGTCTGCAGTTTATAGGCCTGTAATAAGTAGGCAATACTATTCGTTGTGATAAATTTGTTCTTGGCGCCACCTTCTCTGGAAGTGATGCCACGCCCCTGGTTATGGTTATTTTGATGTATAATTTGACTAGGTGCAAACATATTTTTTGAGTTTCATCTGAGATTATTAATTTTTTGTTTTCAAATTTTATCCGCAGCCAATCACAATTGTGTTGCATCATCGCCTTTTTACAGGAACCAAAGTTGAAAAATACTCAAATAAACAATACAGATGTATTCTACAAACCATACTGAAAATGTTGGTATATAATATGTTGATATTTATTTGAATTTATGGCCCCCAAGACCTGTGAACTGCGCACTAGTCATCATCTCATTTCGCCCTCCCGAAAAAAATTCATCCACAAGCCGAAAATAATATGTAGCAAATGAGTTAATGTCCTACTATAAATCACAAACTAATGGTTTTGAAGCCAGAGCGTTAAGCCCATGTTTGAGTTGCTCACTCAAGTAAAGAGAAGAACATCATTTCTATCCTGGTCATTTAGTACAGGTAAAAACCAAGACAGACAAGACAAGAAAAGGAAAGAAAAGAAATTGACCTATCAGTGGCACCCTCCAAACATCCATGTGTTAAAAAATGGAGAAACGATATATATGGGTTTAACAGTTTTAACACCTCTATCAACACTATTATCCATGTGTTAAGCTCCACACGTTAATAAAAAGCAGACAGGAAGACAAAAAAATACTGCACTGCTACATCAAAGAAGATGGGAGGTTTTTAAAAGATCACACCTGCGGAGAACTAAGAAATGGTTGGACACAACAAAGCCTGCAATAGACACATGACTTCAGTAAAGATCACCTGTTGAAATTGGGTACACACAGGAGAAGATTGCAGCTAATAGGAGGAGGGAATCAGGATCAGTCTCAGGAGAAAGATGAAGTAGGGGAAAAGGCTTTTCTGACACACCTCTTTTTGTTTAATATAGATTGAAAAGTGTACAGAGCTTGCTGCTGAGCAGAAATTTGTGCAATATATAAATGATATGTATTATCATATATTATTAATTACTAATATGTTATCACAGAAACCTGAAATATGGACCACTGTAGTATTACCACCGCAGTGTGTAAAGACTGAATATTGCCCCCTATATTATTAACGAACATTATTATCCCCATGGTATGTAATGACTGAACGCTGCCCCCTACAATGGTCACCTTTGGGCCTGGAAACATTGTCCACATGTAGAACTGTCGAGCCGGTGTTGAGAGACATACAGGAGATCCTGCCGTTGAGAGTCATGAACAGGTAGTCTGCTCCTGTCGGTCCATACACCTGACTGATCTGGAACCATGTAAGAGAGACAGTGAAGTTATGGGCTTTAGGGGAGGGGGGCGTGGGGGTCGGATGGTAACTAGCTACCACTAGGAACAAAGAAAGAAAGATACAAAAGAAGTTTCTTACCATCTGGTATAAATCTACAGTAGCATAACCATCAGTGTGTGTATTTCTGTTGATTTTTAAAAATAATATAATGTATAATTAAAAAATAAACGTATCTATATATAACTGTAAAGGTCTGTGATAAATTTCCGCTTGTGATGCATCTTATGTGATTTGTGTATTATTGTCAGCTTTACTTTTCTCTTCATACTGAATAATGTATCATTTATATTCTGTGTATACCAGCATGTGTTTTTTCATTTCTGTACAGCAAAGAAAAATTTCCTTCTGGGACAATAAAGTATCATCTTATCTTATTTCATCTAACTAAAAAAAAACTTTTAAGCTTCAGAGATGAGCTGTTAGCTGAGCTTGAATAATTATTTTCTTCTGAAAAAGCAAAACAAAACAAAACAAATAATCTTTTCTCTATTTAAGCAGTCAGTTCTTGCCAACAATACATACATCAGCGGAAGATATTTTTGTCTCTTGAATGTCCTTGTATTCTTCCTTGGAGAGGTTAATGTCTTGTCGGAAGTTGCGTAGTTTCATTGTGGGTAAATGGAGGACAATCACCATCAGATGTGATGCTGAAACACACAAGACAAAAATAAACTGAAGATTTGTGAACTTCACAAGTCCAAAAATATTCCAAGATACAAAAACAGTATCTCTCTTCAGAGATCTGAACAATAAAGCTAAACAGAAACCCCGTATTGAAGAGCGTACAGGAAATAATTTTACTCTCAAATTAACCTGTTAACACAGTGGAGTACACTTAAACCGAAAATGGTTAATCCAAAAACAGCAGTTAACTGAAAGATTTTTTTTCTTCTATTTGAACAGTCTCTCTAAACCTAGAAAAGGAAGAGGCACTTCCAGCGACTCTGGGTAGCAACAGAAGTGGGAAAGAAACGTGGAAGAATGCCGCTGTACTAGCACCAGATGTTTATGATGGGTTTGAAAGAGGCGAGGAGACTGATAGCGGCACTTGACCTCGAGGGTGCTTACAATAGGGTTGAATATGATGTCCTTTTGAGAACAATGATCAACCTGAAGATTAGCCCCCAGCTCGTATAGGTGAGGCATTGCTGAAGAGGAAAGTTGCAATGCGGCTGGGAAACTGGACATCTGGCACCAGAAGCATCACACCGGGGTTGCCTCGGGGGTCATCACTCTCATCAGTGTTATTCAAGATATACACAGTTGGAATCACTTCAGAATAACTGGAAGGCCCAAGGCATGTGCTGAGCTTTGCAGATGATGTCCTTGTATACAGACAGGGTAAGGGCCGGCAAGAAACAGCTAAAGCAGTGCAACATGAGCCGGATCGAATTGTGGGCAATGGTGAGTAGACCACAACGGCAAACTCCACCCTGACCAGGCCTGCGTGCTGTGGTGCTCACCGAAGAGTCACACGGTGAAAGCAGAGATGTCCATCACCATCAACAGCAAGGTCATGAAGCGTGAGCACTCAGACTCCCAACTGTAAGGTTGTGGGTTCGAATCCCATCAGGGACCCGACGTTGTGTCCTTGGGAAAGACACTTTACACAAATTTTCCTCACTTCACCTACTGGGGAATGGGTACCCAACTATAGACAGTGAAAGATCTCGTCAGTTTGTAAGTTTTTGAGTGCTTAATCAGCTGCTTGCACTGTATGCTTCCCTGGAGGCTGAGAATGTTTCTGATTGTTCTATGGTCTGCTGGGGAAATTATATATTGTGTAAAGTGTACAGAGCTTGCTGTAGAGCCGAGTTAAGCGCTATACAAATACCAATTATTATTATTATCTTGGTATTACCTATGACAGATCACTCTCAGATAAAGATCACATAACCAGGATCGTCACAAGGTTCAGAAAAGGTCTGACTGCACTGAAAACCAAGGTGTGTAACAGAATGCCACAGAGAATTTTAGCCATACTATACCAGACTCTTGTGCTGTCTGTGATAGATTATGGCCTCAGTCTCCTCACCTTGACAACGCCGCAGCTGAAACGCCTTGAGAGAATTCAGAATGAAGGTATGCGGACTGTTCTCAGGTGTACACGAGACACATCCTGCGAGGCTATGCGCTATCTCCTGGACCTCCCAACCATGGTAGAACGTCATAAGATTGCTCAGGTGAAAGCGTATTTATGAGAGTCATTGCCGATGATAAGCACCCATTGCATGACAAAGGGGGAAAAACTGTACACACACGTCTGCTTAGAGGCACTAAAAGGATGAATGAGGCAGCGACAACTTTGGCTAACTGCTGTGAAGTGCAAGACATCCGAAGGGGCAGCTCATGGGTCAGTGTTACCGACACACTTGGGCACTATACTCAAGTGGTAGGAACCTTAGGCAGAGAATGTCATGAGGGGGCAGCCAATGCTGAGGTAGAGACTGATAGAGGAGAACAGCGAACAAGATGGCGTAGTCATCTTCACAGATGGATCAATACAGCGTGGTGTCAAATTTGGATAGGCTTTCAGCGCCCGTGTAAACGGGGTCACAGATAGAGAGCTGTCAGGCGCCACTAGTATAACCACGTCCAGCATGTGCATGGAATGAAGGCCATCACAGAGATCCTTCACTGGATTAAGGCGACGGAGTATCAGTCTGCCATCCTCGTCACGGATCAATGAGTACACTAAAAAAAGTGAAGAAACACATGATGTATGCAGGCTGGGGAGAGGCAATACAAAGCAGCAGACTCACAAGGATTGTATAGATCTTTAACCCTGGTCATGCAGAAGTTCGAGGCAATGAACGTGCTGGTAAGCTAGCCGGCCAGGCTTTTAACTTACGTTGGCGGCACTTGGCAGCACCATGCAACTAGATCTACCAACTGTCATGGCAGCATTGACAGCATGGTTCAATGACCACAGAGAAGATGAAGGCACCACATCACACACAATGGAAAGACTGAGGGAAGCTGGTGTCTCAAGAGGGTCGGGGAGAGACAGCAACCTGCGTGGAAAAGCCAGAAGAATATCTAACCAGCTGATGACTGGCACGATCAGCAAGCACAACCTTTCATGGATCCTGGAGAGGAGGGAGGAGCAGCTATGGCATTGTGCCACCTGCAATGATGCCTTTTCTCCAACGACGTAAGTAAGTAAATGGCTGTAGAGTGGGTGTTCCTTCCACTTTGCTTGTATCTCTATTTCGATGGGGTTTTGGCCTCTGAATATTTTTTTTCTTTTTTCAGGTTTCTCTGATCAATAGCCTTCTTTTGTTACGGAATCAACTGTCTTGTTCTCAAACTGGTTGAAGAGGGATGGTATTCACTGTAGCTCAACTTCGTTGTAGTATTTCCAGAGATTTGCAATCGTTGTTGACAGGTCATTTAGCTTGCTGCCTCTATTTGATAGAAAGGTTTGAAGACGGGAAAGGGTGTCTGTGAGGAATAGGTGAAATAAACTTGAAGCTTAAAAGTTTTCTGATAGAACTAGGGGCCAAGTAATTTTAGACTGACTTTTTGACAAGCATAAATATAAATTCAACAACATGTAATAAACTGAAATTTACCTTTAGGAGGAAATTCTGGGAACAATAAGACGAACACCATGTCATTACCAGAGGGGCTCTGCTTCACAGATAGAATGCGTAAACATCTCACCTGCATTGGAGAAAATAACATTTACAATATGACACATGCATCCTGAAGCTGAACACAGCGATAAAAAGCAGGAAGTATAAACAAAAGGTTATATTTGAATTTTATAATAATGATGATGAAGATGATGATGAAGCATCTTCATTTGTTGCCTAGCTGCCACACCTACTTGTACCAGAATCTACAGTGTAAAAATTAAACTCTTCATTGCAAGCTGGATATGTGAGTTTGATTCCCAAATCCCTGGGGATGCTGCATCCCTTTCATCCACGGTTAGCTTCAACAGGCAGAATCAAAGAAGCCTACATTACAAATGATCTAAATTGGGTCGATGGGACGTAACATTAACATAATTTACAACCAAATCAAATCCCTCTGCCTGGTAGGGTGAATAGGCACTTTGGTCCTCATCCACCTCCATAATCTCTTACATGCAAGTTCCAAACCTTGCACCCTGGGATCTTGTCATCAGCTTGTATACCAAGCCATGCAATGGGTTGGTATTAACATAACACTACTGGACAAGAGATTTCCTTGTTGCAGATAAGTGGTTGGCATATCGAAATCGATATATTGATATTTTTACACATATCGATATCGTATCAAAGTAGTCAAAAAAATATCGATATTTCGATATTTTGATATTATGCCCACCACTCAGCACCGTTTTCCAGGAATTAGCAGGCTGATTTTATGTTTTCACCCACGATAAAACACACCCAAAAAAATCCAAACAAAAAAAAAATTTTTTAAATACTAGAAGACAGCCGTGTTTGGCGCGTTGGAAATATCGACAAGATTCGAGGCCTATATTTGATGGCGAATTTCAAGTTATCGATAATAATTTTGTAATATACTATAGAAAAATATTGATATTTCTTCCGAAAAAATATCGATATCGTATTGAATTCAATATTGCTGATATCACCCATCACTATTGCAGATTACTGGCCAGGGTAGATAAGCCCACAGAAGAGCCTCAACAGTCTAGTGTTCATGATCAAGGCAACTTATTCAGTTGAGGAATATTGGCTGTGGTCCAGCCCAAAGAGGGATGGGTTCCATCACATTTTCTCAGCCTCAAAGGCACACCACAATAAACAGTTTCATATGAGATAGGTCGTCCAATGGCAAAAGGACCACGGCATTCATTTCCCTTGAGAGCAGAAGTGAAAATGACAAAACCTTGCGGTTTTCCACATTTCATTTTTATGCTCAGCAAATCCTAAGTTTAAACAACACAGCAGCAAGTCACATTGCTATTAAAAGTCACAGAAACCCCAAAAAATTTCTTTGTCAACCTTTAACTCTTTTCCTACCAGGCCAAAATCCACCACTGGCCCAGGGCTTTTCCCTGACCTATTTTTACCCCCCTACCCCACCAAAGGAAAATGTCAAAACATCCAACTAAACACACACAAACCATAGCATATTATGGTCTATGAAACCGAAGGTTAACAAATAAAGTATCAGATGGCGATACAATATTGAAGATTCATTCCAATTATAATAGTTTGAGGTTTCTAAAAGTGATTATGCAATATCGAAGGTGTCATATGAAATCAACAATTTTCCAACTTTGAAAGGTTACACCTAAAAAAGTACAACAGCATCATTCAAACTTCCCAGGTCGGTTGCCTCAAGTAAGGCAAAGAAATGCTGAAAGTTATGTATGTGTACCTAAAATAGAAGTGAAAATATGAAACATAATATACTGAAATCAGGGGAGCGCTTTTCTTCTCATTTTTACGCTTCGAAGAGGACAAAAAAAGCGCTGAAACGACTTAAAATCGTCTCTCAGTGCTATATTTTCTTTCATATCTGCTAACTAGTGGTAGGAAAAATCCGGATAATCTAACCAAATAATCAGATAATTCTCAATGAATCGTTATCCAGATTCAGACTCCTGACTCTCTTTCCTAACCCGCTTGTCAGAGTGGATCTAACCCATTTGCCGAAGCAGTTCATAACCCATTTGCAGAAGAGGATCAGTCTCTCTTCCTAAACGCGTTTGCGCAAACGGATCAGAATCTCTTTCATAAGGCATTTAGGAGAGGTTGCTTCCCTTGTTATTAGACTTGTTGATTTAGCCTTCAGACCTTGGCATTGGTGTCAGAATATATTTTTATTTGTTGACCTCTTTCTTTGGGTTAAAAGGGAGTACAATGTAGTTATTCAACCTGATCTAACATGACAAATTTGTGGTTTGCGGGGTTTCTAGGCCAAGCTAGGCTAAAGGTCAGAACATACATTGGGCCTTACAGATGGTAGGCGTAGTAGTGATGAAATTAATCACGACGCGTAGGAAGACAACACTTGGATTGGCGGCACGTGTGATGACCTTGACTCACGGCTTTGAACTTTGAAGGCTGACGTTGGGTGTCTTAGATCTTTTTGCACTTTGACTTTTATATAGCTTAATGTTATGTTTTTATTGTTCAGTGGTCAATAGATTTTTGGAGATGGCTTTTAAAGTGTGCAAGCGTGCGAGTGGGTGCATGTGTGTGTGTTTGTGTGTGTGTGTTTGTGTGTATGTGTGTGTATGTGTGTGTGTGAGTGTGTGTGTGTGTGTGTGTTTGTGTGTATGTGTGTGTGTGTGTTTGTGTGTGTGTTTGTGTGTATGTGTGTGTGTGTGTGCATGCTTGTGTGTC